AGGAAGGACCGGAAGACATAGGCAAGAGCAGATGGAAAAGAAGGAGAATGCGGTGTACGACGTGGAGGTACTTATGATATGTTTTAAGGACAAAATGATGTCGGTGAAGAAAACAAATGTGTATGAACTTGGAGTTCTCTCATAACATCCAGGTCCCGGTGGGGTATAAACGCACCAAACCACTTATAATCAAAGCCTCGGTGCGGAAGACCCTCATTCATAGGGTATATGTTGACAATGGAAGTTCATTAAACATCATATATGAACATTTTCTGGATTAGTTGCCCCAAATGTAAAAGGTTTCGTGAAACCGGCCACCTTATCAGTGGTAGGATTCGCTGGGCAACTGGTATGGCCGAAGGGATAAATATCCCTCATATTTACATTGGTCGAAGATAAAGGTAGCCTGATCAAAACCAACCTGGAAAATTTCATTATAATAAAGGTTCCCTCCCTTACAACATGCTCCTTGGAAGAACTGGATTATAGAAGTTACAAGCAATGCCCTCCGCAGTGCATGACTTACTCAAGTTCCCATCGGATCATGGTGTAATCACTCTAAGAAGCATTCCTCTGCGTCCATCGGATTGGAGTCATGCTGCATAATAGAGGCAGGGATGTGAGGGCCCGGCGGCTGAAGGTAGCTCCTCGACAGAGGAGGAGATGGTAACCATAAATCCAAGGTACGAAGATTAGAAGGTGAGAATAGGTTCAGCTTTACCACAAGACTTGAAGGAAGGGATAAAAAAAGCTCTTACGGGCGTATGCAGATGTTTTTATCTGGAAACCGTAGGATATGATGGGCATCCCAAGGGAAATAATCGAGCATAGGCTTAACATTAACCCTGAATTTGTCCATACGAAGCAAAAAAACAATTAATGACACAAGGACATAATGAGATTATCAAGAAGGAAGTAACAGGTTTGGTGCAGGCGGGGTGGTGCGAGAAACTCAGTTCCCACAATGGATTGTTAATCGGGTCTTATTAAGGAAAGGCGATGGAATGTTGAGAATGTGCGTAGATTTCACCAACCTAAAAAGGGCTTGTTCGAAAGACAGTTATCTGTTACCAAAGATAGAACAGGAGGTGGAATCACTTGGAGGGTATTGATGGAAATCATTCTTAGATGCCTATAAATGGTACCATCAAATTCTATTATCAAAAGAAGTTGAGGAAAAGAAAAAATTTCATACAACGAAGGGGACCTTCTGCTACACAAAAATTCCATTCGATTTAAGGAATGGAGGGGCAACATATCAAAGGATGGTCGATAAGGTTTTTGAAGAACAGATAGGATGAAATGTAGAAGTGTATGTGGACGACATGGTCATTAAAATCAAGGGAGACGAAGGATCCTGGAAGGATGTAGAAGAAACGATGATCCGACTAAGAGAAACGAATATGAAACTCAACCTAAAAAAGTGTGTATTCGGAGTGCAAAAAGGAAAATTCTTGGGTCACATTGTTTCCCCCGAAGGGATTGAGGCGAACCCTGAAAAAGTAAGAATGCTCCTAGATTTAAAGACACTATGTACCGTAAGAGATGTGCATAGTTTGAATGGGAAACTAGCTGCATTGGGGAGATTTTTGGTGAAATCGCCAGAACAATCTCTCCTGTTCTATCAAGCATTGAAGAATCATGTGGGAAAGAGTGACGTGGCATGGTCGAAAAAAGCAGGGGAGGCTCTCCTTAAATTGAAAGAACACTTAAGGAAGCTACCAACGTTGGCAAGCCCAAAGCCGAATTATCCTTTGATAATCTACATGTCCACCAATTGATAAGCGATAATTGCATTTCTTATAGCAGAAAGGGAGAAGAAGCAAGTACCTGTCTACTTCGTCAGTCGAGTATTGCAAGGCGCCGAACTCAATTACTCTTTGATCGAGAAATGTATTCTTTCCTTGGTATACTTAGCTAGGAAATTGCAAAGATATTTTCAGGCTCATCCAATATCGGTCCTGGCTGATCAGCCTATACGAAAATTTTTAACACATCCAAAGAGGTCTGGATGAATGACGGAATGGGCCATAGATTTGGGATAATATGACATCGTCTATAAGACGAGGGTGAGAATCAAAGCCCAATAATTGGTAGATTTCCTGACGGAAATGCCAGAGGAGAAGGAGAAGGAAAAACGTTTATACTATTAAGGTGCACGGTACAAAGACAGAAGTGGCAACAAGAGCTGTAAAGGACAAACACTGGATATTACACACTAGCAGAGCTTCAAGTTATGATGGTTATGGAGCAGGAGTATTATTGGAAAGCCTAATTGGGTAGGGAGTTACATAAGCTATTCACTTTGATTTTAAGTGTTCTAATAATGAAGTCGAACACAAGGAACTCCTGGCTGGTTTACAACTGGTTGCAAGCATGCACATCTCGAAGGTAAAAGCATACAACGATTCCATGCTGGATGTAAACCAGATCAATGGTTCATATGAATCCAAGGAGGAAAACATTAAGAAATATTTGATGAAGGAAAAAGAAGCTATTAATAATTCGACGAATTTCAGATAATTCGAGTTCCGAGATCAAAGAACAAAGAAGCCAACGCCTTGAGCAAACTAGCATCAGCAGTTTATCACCATTTGCAAAAAAAAAACATTTTGGTGGAAGTGTTACTGAAAAGAAGTATCTATGAGGAGGTAGAACAAGTGTAGGAATTAGAAAAAAAGATAATTCGTGGATGGGTCCGTATATCTGGTACTTGAAGGAAGGACGCTTTCCCTCGTGTGAGAAAGAGGCACGGAAAATCAGAGTCAATGCAACAAATTATACCATGTACTCAGGGTAGTTGTATTAGAAGGGCTATTCAACCCCTAAGCATAAATTTTTGGGAATGAGGGAAGACGATTTGGTTATACGAGACATTCGCGCAGGGGATTCCGGTTCACACACATGAGCCAGGATGTTGGTGCAGAAAATCATTCATACGTGGTACTTTTGGCCGACGATGACGTCCAACACAAACAAAGTGGTCCGAAAGTGCCATAGCTGTCAAATCCACTCCGATGGGCCTAACTTACCATCTGCAATGATTACAAGCATGATGATTCCTTGGCCTTTCCTGCAATGGGATATCGATATAGTGGGTCCATTCCCAGAGGCTCCCAGAAGACTCGAGTTCTTGATAGTATCCGTGGATTATTTTTACCAAGTGGGTTGAGGCCGAAGCAGTGGCCGTCATCACAGGAAAGAAAGTTGTCAGCTTCGTTTAGAAATAGATAGTCTATCGGTTCGGCTTGCCTCTAGTCATTACCGGTGACAACGGGAAACACTTTGCTAAAAATCCCTTTAAAAAATGGTGCAAGGACACGGTATCAAGCAAAACTTCACTTTGGTGGCTCATCCTCAAGCGAACAGATAAGTGGAAGTGAAAAAAAGACCATTATGAAAGGAATCAAAAAAAGATTAGTAAAGTCATAGGGGAATTGGGTGGACGAACTACAACATGTCTTGTGGTCGTATCGAACAACAATTCAGACTCCCACAAAAGAAACACCGTTTAGCCTAGTATATAGGTCCGAAGCAGTGATCCTAATAGCGGTGAGCATCCGGAATACCCAGACCTCAAATCCTTGCGTAGACTCAAACAATGCCGATATACGGGTCAATATGGATCAGTTGGAAGAAAAGCAAATCGAATATGCTATACGGCAACATACATACAAGGCGATGACAGAACGATACTACAACAAGAGAGTCTGAGGCTGAGCTTGTGCAGTAGTGGATCTGGTGATAAGGAGGAATGAGGCAAGCCGGTAGGAGAATGAAGGAAAGTTGGGCCTCAATTGGGAGGGGCCATACAGATTGATTCTAGCTCAGGGGAATGGTTCCTATGTCTTGGAGACTATGCACGGAAGGCGGTTACCAAGAACTTGGAATATGCACAAATTAAGACGTTTCCACTTTTAGGTGGCGACGAAAGCGAAGAAGGCCCTGGGTATATGGTATCTCGGCCAGACTACGTTAATTCAAAATGTACTCTCTTTTAGGAAAATTTAAGGCATCGAGAGGAACAAATGAAAGAGACTATGTTGATGTAATCGTATGCTTCGAATATCAATATGACTTTTATTTAAAAACCATTTGTATTACTTAATCACACGTGTCATACCTAGACCGAGTAAACAAAAAGATCATCTCACAGTATAAGCCACCATGGTCTAAGCTCCGTAGTTCAGCTATGTAAAAGATAAGCATGGTCCGACCACCATGGTTCGATCACATAAGCCACCATGGTCTAAGCTCGATTGTTCAACTATGTAAAAGATCACCATGGTCCGACCACCATGGTTCAATCACATAAGTTACCATGGTCTAAGCACCATAGTTCGGCTATATAAAATATCGCCATGGTTCAGCCACCATGATTCGATCACATAAGCTACCATGGTCTTACCACCATGGTTCGACTATGTAAAATATCACCATGGTCCAGCCACCATGGTTCGATCATATAAGCCCCCATGGTTTAAGCACCATGGTTCAACTATGTAAAATATTACCATGGTCCGGCCACCATGGTTCGATCACATAAGCCACCACGTTTTAAGCATCATGGTTCGGCTATGTAAAAGATCACCATGGTTCGATCATATAAGCTACCATGGCCTATACGCCATGGTTCGACTATGTAAAAGATCACCATGGTTCGACCACCATGGTTCGATAATATAAGAAAATCATGGTCTAATCCCCTGTATTTGGTTGTATAACATAATGATCACGATTTGGTCACTAAGGATGGGTGTTATGAACAACATGTGGGAAGAATACGGTGGCAAATTCAACTAGTCACAAAACTATGGTCCATCCATCATAAATTAAGATAAGTTGATACATATAATGTTAAAAGCTATGAAGGAATAGCTAAAGCTTATATCACAATACCAAGAACCGAAACAACAAATCTAACACTGAAGAAATACTTCAAGAAAGAATAAAGTTAAATTACGGATAAAATGTTATGGTTACAAAAAAAAGATATAAAGCTAATCGTCGAATCTAATGTTAGAAGAATCCATCCCCTCCAATTGTTTATTCAAAAAGCTCGCATCCACACCATCTCCTTCGAGCATTTTTAACAAGGTGAAATCAAAGTTGGTGAGTTCGGTGAACCATTGAAGAACTAATTCAGTGACATTCAGAAAAGAGAAGGGAAGCTCGACAAAGAAAGATCCCTATTACACTTCGATAAGGTGATCATCTTTCCATCAGGCTTGGACAATGAAACATTTGGCGGTTTACCTTTAGAACGATCGTCCTTTTTTTTCTTTTGTCGGAGGGAGACGACGAGATTACAGCGGGAACGCCAGACTTGGGTTGTGCGTGGGAGTCAATGCTAGATTCAAACTCCAATACTGCTTCACCTTCAACAGGAGTTTCAGATCTTGTGGTAGGCCCGTCAACAACCTTGGGATAAGGGGTATTACTTTTAGAGAGAAGGAGTTCAAGAAGCGTGTTGGATTGGCCACGGAGAGCCAGATCAGGAGGTTTGTCGACTACATTGGGGACTCCTTCTAGTCCAACATGTTCGAGAATTGAGTCGTCAGGATCATACCATTTGACATAATTAGCAACCAATTGGTCTACAATGGATTGATTATCTACAGTAAGTTCGGGGTTGGGGTCATGGTCACAGTTTAAGAGGCTTTAAAATTGCATAGAAACTCCGAAAGTAGATGCAAACACAAATAAGAACTCGGTCTTCCATTTCTTTATAGAGGTGGGCAACCCGTCGCATATTTCGATAGCTCAGGAGCACAAAGAAAAAGATACCCAATCGCCCCACGCCATAGTCACGTAAAAGTGACAAAACACAGACAAAGATGAAACTATGTTTAGGGCTCTATTCAGTAACATGAAACACATGATTTTCTTGAAGCCATTGGGAGTAATTTGGCCAATGTGGAGTTTATAATACCCGAGAATAGAATTCAAGAGATCAAAGGCAACTAGGCAGATTCTAGACCTAAAGAGAATTGTGTAAACACTGACGTAGCCTTCTGGAGAGATGTTAATAGGCTGATCCATATAAGGAAGAATTGGATTGAATTGGGGATCGATGTGGAAAGACTTGATAATTTCGTCTAATAATCCTTGCGGCAAAGTAGAGAAAGCGGTGTGGATGGGATGTTTATCTTTCGCCATGACGAGGAGATGAAGGAAGAAATCAAAGAAGTTCGAAATATTTAAAGCACATAAAGGAGTGGGTAGTTAAAATTGAAGAACCAGTTAAAGAAAAATGATTCAATCGTGCCCGATAAATAAGGTACTGTTAGTATTTTGAGGTAACGGTAATAAGATAGGTAATGATGAGTCGTAAAGAGGCGGAACGGTAGAATCTGATACATGATTTGACAGACGAGTCTATCTATTAGAGGCCGATGTTGATAAACGATAAGTAAATTCAACTTAGGGGACTTAATGAGGTATCTCACCTCCGAACAAAAGTGGTTCGGTTAAGCCGAACCCGGACCACCGATACACAGTCCGAACGAGTGTATCAGGAAATGTCGAACCATGCAAGACGAAGCCAAACCACTTGACTTGCGAGAAACGCTGTGAACTAACATTCACAAGTGTCAAGTCAAGCAGTCTTAGGGAACTACACATAAACAGCCTGTCATGGACCAATAGTTCGATACAGCTTAGATAACAAGAATGACAAGACTGTCGACAGTTCATTAGTACTGCTTTTGTACCTTCGGCACTGGGCACATTAATGACGATGAGACGGGGACCTAGTCGTCTCGCCCTCACCTCCATTTTCCCATGCAAAGGTAGTATAAAGTCAGACTAGCTCGACCACGAACATGTATGCTCTCAGCAGTTACATCTCATTCGTAATTCAGTAACGATAACCCATATCTTGCATTTGACTTAAGCATCAGAGCATTCTCCCGGGTTCGTCGCTCGGAGAACATTTAACGTTGTTTTTTTTTCTCAAGTTCAATAGTGCTCTAGACGTACGGGCATTGCCTTATTCATCAATACAACCCCCTCCCTGAGATACCAGATTCATCACGGTCCAATACCAACTTCATTCCGAAATCATTTTTGGTTCCAATATCATTTTGTCCTTACTTAGAATCTTGTATAAACTTAAACAAAGTGTGTACTCCACACATTCCTTACTTGTTTAATATTCATCGAGATTGATTTTGGTCAACAAATCAATCCATTACACTTAAATAAACCTAGTGAAATAATTCACCAATGTTATATGCATTTGATTTTTTCTCTTATGTATATAGTGTATGTGCATATGCACATATGCTATATGCATATGCATATAGTGTATATGTATATGAAAAAAATATATATTTTTCATATGCATATAACGTTTGTGCATATGTACACATGCATATGCATATGCATTTTTTTTATCAACATGAAATTCTGACACCAAATTTTACATGTATATTGAAGATGAAACATCTAAGAGATTTGCAAAAAAAAATTAAATTAATTTCTTTTCTGCATGTGCATACGTACGCTTTTTTTTAAATGTGTATATGCATAAAAAATATGAATATGCATCAAAAATGCATTTTTTTGAAAAAAATATTTTTCTAAATATTAATTTCAAAATATATACAAAATATTCACATAATTAAAAAAATAGATATCAACAAAGATATTGTATATATTTCGAAACTAATATTTAAAAACGAACTTTTCAAAAAACTATATTTTTTATGCATATTCATATTTTTGTGTATATATAAACTTTTTAAAACAAATTAGCATATGCACATGAAAAGGAAATTAATTTTTTTTGGAATTTCTTATGGGTTGTTTGTTTGGCCTCTTAATGATCCTATAAAGAGGATGACTATAAAACTATTTTAGTCTCTTAATCGGCAGGACATTTAACAAAAAAGGGTCTTATTCGGTCATACAGAATAAGGAGTCTGGATGAAATTTTTTTCCTTTGATTCCCTTTCCCTAAAAAACAGATATCACCTCTGCCTCTTTTTTTCTTCCCCCTTTTGCTTCTAGCGAACAACGAACAGTCATCCTTCTCACCTGCAACGCCGATTTCAGGTTGCAGTCGGACCTCCTACATCGCCAGTCCACCTTCACCTTCGTCGCCTCCCTCGTCGCAACCTCCCCCTTCGTTGGTATGTTTTTCTACTTTGTTCAATGGGTAGATTTTTTAAGCATAACTCTCATAAATCTATTTTTGGAAACGAAATCAATAAATTGTTGTGTTCTTGCTCTATTCTTGTTGTATTGCTATGTTGGCTGATCGATTTGTGTTTGGGTGAGTGATTTGTGTGAAATCTGATCAGTTTTTATGCATATTGTTGTGTTCTTGCTGATTTGTTGCTTATATGTGTTTAAAAGTCTGAAAATATGTGTTCTTGTTGATTTGCTGCTATGATTTTGCTTGATTTTTCTGTTCTGTTGCTGGATTTTGTTGCTGAAACATGTTCTTGTTGAACTTTGAATACTAGACATGGCACAAATGGGACAAAAAGGTCTATAATTAATTGGAAGCAGATAGAAGGTGTTGAAAATAACATTTCTTGAAGCTTGTTTTCATGAAAGTTGTAACATCTTGTTTCCCGTCATTTCTTATTTCAGCGCCGTGGGCCATAAGTCGATAGTCTAAAGGATTTGGGCCTTAAGGAGGAAATGTCTAGACCTTTTGGAAGGAGGCAGAGATGGTTATGAGATCTAAACCTTTGAATTGTGTTTTGGGCTGAAGGGTAGAATGGAAAAAGTCATAAGCCGTGTTCTTGAATTGTGTTTTGAGAAGTTTCTAGTCCAAGATATTTAGATAGGGTTGTAGAGCTCCTCAATACCTTTTCGTGGATATAAAGAACGTCGAAAACGGAGTTGGAACGAAGAAGTTACGACCGTTTGAAGTTAGACGATTTTTGGGTTAGCCGCGTATGCTGGGCGTACGGGGAGTACGATGCGCGTAATAGGGCGTACCATAATTATGTTGGGTGTATGCAATCAGTGCCCAAACCCTATTTTCGTAGTTTGAGCCCTATTTAAGCTCCTTAACTTCCCCAAACTCATTCCATTCTCAGCCTCCACCTAACCCTAACCCTAGTTTGAGCCTTGTGAGCAAAAAGAATGTGTTTTTAAGTGGTTTGGAGTGTCCTTGGTGCACCTTGGAGAAGAAGGAACTCATTTAAGAAGTGTTGGTTGCATTGGAGCTTGTAGATCTAGACCTTGTTCACCTTGATCTTTCTTTTGGAGGTATAAAGTTTGAATCTTGATGATGAAATTGTTAGATCTAGCTAGTTTTGGTTGTTATGAGATTTGGTCACTTTAAGTGCATAAATTTAGATCTCGAAAGTTTGTGACCTTGTTATGGATAAAGTTGGAAACTTTATCCATCTAAACATCATATTGTTTCAGATCTGAAGGTTGGAGACTTGGACTTAATGGATTAAGTTGAAAAAGATGCATTGTTGGTCCCTTTAAGACCTAAAGACTAGATCTTGTTTGTTGTGACCATTCTAATGGATAAAGTTGGAAACTTAATCCATTATGGAGCTATTAGGAACCATAAAAATGTGATCTTGGTGCTTCTATCCCTTCCAAGCAAGAGTTATGATGTCTTAATGGATTAATAAGTTAGGGTTTTAGCTTTTGGATCTTCCCTAGCCATGGAAAGTCATAAAGGTGGAAACTTTATGACTTAAGACAATGTTTTGAGGCTAGATCTAAGTTTGGGTGAAATGTCCTAAGGAATTAAGTGCTTCATGAAGGAGTGGGGTTAGGCTGCGTACGCTGGGCATACGTTGAGTACGTTGGGCATACTCAACTTCCTTGGAGTTTGACTTTTATGACTTCCGCTGACCGTTAACTTTTTGACCAAGTTTGACCTTGGGTCAAACTTGAGGATTTTGGGCGATTGATTAAGATTTTATCTGGTTCTTGTGTTAGTGGATTCACGGAAGCAAGCAGTACAAAAGTGAGCATATCGCAGTCTTTCAAGGTTCTTCGATTCAGGTGAGTTTCGCCTCATTGTACCCATGGGTCGAAGGCACCAATGCCGAACCACTGTTTTTGGTTATCTTTAGTAGAAGGATGCCATAGGGACTGTATATAGTCATGTAGGATAGAATGAGGACTCTTGATATAGGATTTTTTTCCTGTTCCTTGTTTGGTTGTGGTACCAGAGTAGGATCACCTGTCCGGGTGTCTATCTCACCTCTGAGTATATGAGGTTATGTATTCCTTGGATTGTTAGTATTTTGTATGTTGTTATGTTGTAGTGACATATTAGATCTGTATCCTGGTAGTTGGTATGTTTCTATGTCGTAGTGACCTGTAAGATCTGTTTCCTGGTAGTTGTTACGTTGCTATGTTGTATGTTAGATCTGTATCCTGGTATTTAGGAAGTTGCTATATGGTAGTGATCAGTAGATGTGTATGTCTACCTATACTTGTTGGTCATCATCTAGTGGGGTGCCTTAGGGACTGTATGTGGTCATGTAGGATAGCCTGAGAACTCTTGATCTACGCTTTCTTGCCTGTTCCTCGTTTGGTTGTGGCTCTAGAGTAGGATCATCTATTCGGGTGGCTATCTCACCTCTGGTTACTTACGGTTACGTATTTCATGGAGGTTAGTTGGTACCGGGACAATATGCTGTGAGAGGACTAGTAGGCGGTAGTGAGTTGTATGATTGATGTTTTCCTATATTATGTGCCTACTTGATCCTTGATTGTTTATAAGTCGACATATGGTGGTAGCGAGTTGAGGCGCTCCTGCTTTGTGCTATAGGCCAAGATACCCGGTGCGGGTCGGCTGTAAGCCGAAGGCACGAAGTCTTTGGAGGAGCGGTTGGGTTGAGGTGGTAGGCCAACAAACCCTGGGTATTCCAGCCTGATGGTTGAGTGAACCCGATGCTTGCTTTTATGTTTATCGTATGGGGTATTTTAGGGGAAACTTACTAAGCTTTGTGCTTCCTCAGTTGTTTACTTTTTCAGGAATCATCGGTCGTCATGGGAAGGCGAAGGCGTGACTGTACACATTCATCAACAACAATGAAGATTTCACGCTTTAATATTACTTTGATTTTTAATAAATGTATTTGGAATAAACAGTTTACTTCACAATGGATTTATAAATGGGAAGCTTTACTTAAATAAAATGAAATTTTTTTTGTTGTGAAAATGGTACGTTACAAAATTACAACCTACGGACGTGAAGGGGGTAGTTTGAAAGTAAGCTCATGGAAGAATGTAGCTGAAAGATTGAAAACAAAATACAATTTTGTAGTTGATCAGAAGCAGATGAAAAACCGATATGACCACCTAAAACCAATGTTTGGTGCTTGGTTGAAATTAAAAAGCAAAACAGACAACGTTTATAACCCTATAACTAACACGTTTAACATGGAAGAAGACGAAGGGAAACTAGAGATCAAGGTATTGTGATTTTTGATAAGAAGTAATATTTTATATTATTTTATAATATTTATAATATTTTCAACCAGTCGAACATAATGATAGAAAACTTTGAGAACTTCTCCACTATTGTACCCCGATCTTTGTGTTCAGTTGTTTGATGGGTCGACTATGACTGGAATTCATGGCTGGGGGCCATCTTATACACTTCCTCATCCTTCTTATGACTTGCCCAACATTAATTTCAGTGACTTTGATGGTATTAATTTAACTCACATGGAAAGTATGACTTTACCCGAAAGTCCAAATGAAGGAACCTCTAGTGTTTCCAAAAACAAAGGAGCTAAAGGAAAAGGAAAAGCACAAATCAATGCAAAGATCATTAAAGT